CTCCCCTAAGCGGGGCGCCAGCCCTCGGCCACCCCCGCCCGTTCTGGCCGCGATGCCCGCCCCCCAGGGCCCCGGCGGCCCGCGCCTCTGCTAGGCTGCGGCGGCATGGCCCGCGCGCCCGGCGCGACCTCTGCGGATTGCATCGGTGTGTGGCGGCGGGGCATGCCCAGGGCACCGGGCACGGCCTTCAATGGGCGAGGACACGGACACGCGGAAAATTAACCACAGCTTCCTGCGGGACCACAGCTATGTGACTGAAGGTAACGTACGTGTTGTCTGAGACCCCCTCCGGCCCGCCGCGGCGTGGGGATGCCGTCGCACCGAATGCCCTCCGAAGGTTTGGACCGCGCGATGTGTGTCGTGTCCCCCCATCCTACCCCACCCTACCCCTAACCGTCCTGGGCCTCGGAGGGAGGGAGCCCGAGGGCAATAGACCCAGCTGCCCAGAGCCTGGCCAGGGCAGCGCCCTCCTCGGCGCCACGCTCCGGGAGGCAGCTGTCCGCTCCCTGGCCGAGTGGCATCCTGATTCAGTCCTGGCCATCATGTTTTAAAAAGCCATGCCTGTGGATAATCTGGGGAAGAAATCCTGGATTTGCCATTTCTGCCCAGCCCAAAGCCCGCAGAATTTTGTAGGCAGCCCACTCCCTGAAGAAGGGGAACCCAGAAAAAAAAAATAACCATTGCCAGATCTTCCCCCAAGAAGCAGGGTCCCCTGGTGGGAGGGAAAGGGCGACTAATTTGGTCTGGTCTCTTATTCCTGTTGAGTTATACTGAGGCAGGAGTAGCTGGGACAACTCTCAGGATTCCCCCCCCCCAAAGTGGGACGTGCCACCCCAAACAGGGCCGGTTTAAAATCCCCCAAGTTGGCCCTACAGGCCCACCCCGGCCGACCCCCACCCTCAACCCGAGGCTGGTGGAATCCACAGGGCCACAGCCCTTCTCTTACAGGCCTGAACTTCTGGGGTCCCTCTGCTCAGCCTTGCCCAGGGAGCAGAGGGGACAGCTCCCATGCGCAGGCGGGGCTCACCGAGTGAGTCTAGAATTGAAGGAGGGAACAGGGAGACCTGGCCACGGAGTGTCAGCGAGCTGAGGTGGAGGAGCCACTGGTGCTGGAGCCCTGCCCGGGGGTAGGGACTGGTAGCTCCTTCCTAGGGGCTACTGGCCTGGCTGCAGAAGTGCTTGTGGCTTTTTAGCAAGAGGTTGCTCCGGTGGGTGGCCCCATGGGAGGAGTCCCGGGCACCGGGTCCCGCCAGGTTGGTGCGCGCGTGGGTACTGGTGCAGGGGAAGCCGCGTGGGCCTAGCGGTGGTGAGGCCGGGCTCCGCCGGAAATGAGGCCAAGAGTATGGGAGCCCGCGGAGGCCGGGGAGGCAGAAGCTGGGCGTGTGACCCAGGCGGATGGAGGCCCAGGGTCTGTGCCCCGCTCCGCTCCCGCAACCGCAGGAGAACCGCTGAGTCATGCTCCGCCGCTGGGTTTATGCAGGGTGCGGGGGGCAGGGCTGGGCAGGGCCTGGGTGACGCTGTGCCCTACTGGGGAAGCGGGAGGCCCGAGAGCTGAAGCGGCCCTTTGTCGCCCGCCTTGGTGAGGACCAGGAGGGATCAGCTTGTGTTGGGGGTGCTCTTTCTGCTGGCAGCCTGCTGAGCGGCAGGGTTGAAAGAGGCCTCTAGTTTGCTGGCAGGTGCCCCAGTGGCCTGGCTCTGGCCACGGGCGAATCTTGGCAGGTCGCTCTGCTGCTGCTCGGCTTGCTCTGCTCTGGCTTCCTGGAGGAAGCCTGTTTTCTCATTTCTGCACTGAGGGTGACGAGTTAGGGCTCTGGGCTCGTTTTGTGACTGAAAGTAAAAAGCCTAAAGTGGACATTTCAAACATTAATTCCTTCCTCACTCTTTCCACCCCCACCCTTTCTTTCATATATTCACGAGCTCTCCACAGGGGGCAAGTGCACAGTCAGAGCAATGCTTTTTAGTCTCCATTCACCAAATATTTATTGAACACTTACTGCAGGCTAGCCCTGTTTTATCCCTGGGGACACAGAGATTCCCTGCCCTTGAGTAGCCTGTGTTCTGTGGGGAGCCATGAGACCTTGAGGGGAGTCTATCCTCTCACCAAGTCTCAGTTCCCCAATCTGTAAAATGGGAGTGACTCCAATCTTGTAGGGTTCTGTGGGGATCAGGTGTGAGGGTGATGAAGGTGATGGTAAATTGAAACTATAAATTGTTAATGGGCAGCCAAAGGGTGTCCTATCTGCTGGAACCTCACAGAAGATCTCCTGTACTTCTCATCCCACTTTTTAGGTAAAGAAACCAAGGCTTGGCCTTGCCCATGGCCGTGAGTGTAGAGCATAGGGCTCAGATACTAGGAAAGCAGAGAGGAAAAGAGCACACAAGGGAAACAATAACAATAATTATTATAATTAGAATATATAACAATTCTGGCCTCCCCAAATAAAAAGAGACTTTCACACTGAGACATCTTGGCTGTATTTTATGTTCAGAGCCATAGGGAAGATCATAAATTTGGATGTCAGACAGACTTGTGTTAAAATCTTGCTTCTGACTCCTCATTTGCTGTGTAACCTTGGACAAGTTACTAAACCTTCCTGAACTTTCTCCCTTCATAAAAGAAGAGATAATAATGGCTGCTCATACAAGGTTGTTGGGATGATCAGTGATTATCGTTGGACCAATATGGAGAGTGCCCAGCACAGTGCTTGACTTATTAGAGGCATTTCATTAATGACACTTGTAATTTATAATCCAGGCCATTGCTGTTCCCTAGTGGGCCATTTTCTTTCTTGCATCAGGGCATCTGTACTGTTTGCTCTACTGGAACACCTACTTCCTGCCTTTCTCGTGACTGACTCCTCATTCTTTGGGTTCCAAGTCAAATGTCATCTTTGTCAGTGGGAGCCCTACTTGAGTCCCCAAGACTCTTGTAAAATCCAAATTCTCTCAGCTTCTGTCAGACACATGTGCTTCTTGCACCTGTGGAAATGAGGGGGATTCCCTAAGCTCCATCTATGATTTCATAGTAGTCTCTTTATCTCCATAGAGTTATGCTAATTTTATGGTTGAGGGAATGAAGGGGATCGCAGAAGAGCAAAATGATTTGCTCAGAAATTGGTAAGGTGGGCAGGAACTCCAGGGCCAGTCGGAAGCAGTGTGTGGGTAGTTTCTACCACATGCGACTGTCTTAAGCTTTTAAACTGCTTGTGCCCTGAATACCATCAGTTTTCCACTCTGAAGAGGGAGTGCCATATGAGACCCAGCATGCAATGAGATTTGTACCCTGAGTTGGATGTTATAGCTGATAATCCCCAACACTCAGCCTCCCAGTCTCCAGAGAGAACACATGTGGTTCCTGGCAAGAGCTGACAGATACAAGGGTACTCTTATCACCCTTAACCGAGATCAAGTCAATTTCTAGAGACTGAATGGAAAGGAGAGAGAGCTTTGGGGAAGTTGGTTTCTCTGCTGTGATTGGAACACAGGAGTTGTATGGTTGCTGGCAGCCATTCTGGCACCATGAGGCAGTGTTAGGCCAACATCATTGAGGGGAAGGCAGAGAGTGAGTGACAATTGTTGACCATGGTTACTTTCAGGCCTGATGTCCACCCCATCTCTGGGCTTCCAGTTACCAGAGCTGGTACATGTTTTTATTGTTACACACTTAAAGTCAAGTCTCTCTGTTCCTTGGAGCCATCAGCACCCCAACTTACACTGCCTCAAGTGCTCATTCAGAAAACCAGGAGGCCAGGCTCAGTGCTTGTAGCTCAGGGAGTAGGGTGCCGGCCACATACACTGAAGCTGGTGGGTTCGAGCCCAGCCCAGGCCTGCTAAACAACAATGACAACTGCAACCAAAAAATAGCCGGGCGTAGTGGTGGGTGCCCATAGTCTCAGCTACTTGGGAGGCTGAGGCAAGAGAATCGCTTAAGCCCAAGAGTTGGAGGTTGCTGTGAGCTGTGATGCCAGGGCACTCTACCAAGGGTGACATAGTGAGACTCTGTCTCAAAGTTAAAAAAAAAAAAAAAAGGAAAAGAAAACCAGAAGGCTGTTACGGTTTTCTCAACTCACAACTCAGACTCATATACATAAAACCAAGAGGGACTTTTGCTTGCTTTCTTCTGTAGGAATTCTCTTTTATCTCTTTTTTCACCCGAGTCAAGGTTGCCAAGTTCCAGTTTTCCCTCCTCGGCCCAGTTAAGGAGGAATTTTTGGCCAGATGAGAGACCATAAGATCTCGTGTTGGGGTTCCTGGCAGGGTCTGGCTTTGGGTTCATAATCTTGAGCAGGCTCCAAAGTCTCTCTGAGCCTCAGTTTATTCTCTGTGTTGTTGCTTAGATCACCTGAAACAAGGGTGATCTTCCTTCCCTGCTAGCTGGAAGGAATATTCTCAGGCATTCTCAGGAAGGAACATGACTCAAGACATTACGTGACTTTCTGTGTCTACACATGCCCAACCCGAGGCCTGGAGTACAGGCAGCACTTGGTAAATATTATCAATAAATGATGATGACTGTTCTTCAGGAGCAGAGTTAGACTAACCCTGAGAACTACCATCAGACTGGGTAGTTTAACTCCCACCCCTATCCCACAGGGAAACTGAGGCTAAGAAGGGGGAAATTAGTTAGTAGTGTTGACCTATAGTCCCAAGGGAAAAATGGGGAAGAGCTAGCCTTTGGATTTAAAAAATTCAGATGTGAACCACTCAGATTCTTTGTTCCTTTTCCTTCTATGTGGGAATGCCACTTACATAAGCTTCCCTTGGGCTTTACAAGTGTGTGCGGCTCCATTTCAGTGGTCGTGGGAGAAGGTAGCTGAGGCTGGGCCTATTGAGTATCCTCCATCTGATCATACCATCTCTCTGTGCCTCAGTTTCCCTGTACAGCTTAGTGGCCTGGTTTGCTATGAGGCTCTAACTGAAAAGTTGCATACATATAAGAGGTTATTGTTATCCATTTCCCAAACCTTTGTGCAGGCCAGCCCCCACACCCCTGCTGTAAGTGGGGAGCTTGTTTATTTTTAATCAACCCTGTCTTAAAGTGAGGTACAGTCACGGAGTAGGGTTTTTCTCATTTTCTTTCTGGAGGACGGAAATCAAATTCTAATAAAATGTTTCCACTTCATCTCCTTGTTGTTGTTACTTGCTACAGCTTTTGGTTTTTATCCTTAAAGCTCTTAGAGCTAAGGGATGTTTTTGTAAGAGTCATTTTAGGCCTTGAGGACTGGAAGCCTGCTGTGTGATGTGCTGGTGCTTAGAGAGA